CCCCCCCGGGCACGACCCACGTGTGACAAACACGCCGCGAGGAGGGTATGGCGCCTTTGCCCTTGAGAGCAGCCAGGCACAGCTCCGGGCTGGCTCCAGCCCACCCCCAGCCTGGAAACAAGGAGGAGAAGGGAAGAGAGGAGACCAGGCGCTATCCTACACTCAAAACCAACATAAAATTAATAGCCTTCCCCCTTTAAGCCACAGAAGTCATCAGGTTTTGGACACACATAAAGCAAAAAAAGTTACAGTAAAAGAGGAGTTCATGTAAATGCAAATTGTACTCCCCACCTCCTCCCATGAGTGGGGTCTCTTCAGACTCTGCTCCATCCCATCTCCATACTACTTGAGCTTCTCCACATCCATGTGCCTTTCCCGCTCCCAGCTACATCTCCTGCACAAGGCCAGCTCATTGCTATCATTCCCAAGTAGCAACCCCGGCCCCTCCCTCAGCAACAGCATTGACTCTGACTGTAACTCTCAAAGTTTTAAAAAGTTTCTCTTTTGTGCTTCTCTATCTTTCTAATGCCTCTAGAAGCTTTTTTTGCTTTAGGAAGTAAGATGTGACAACACCACAAAAACCAACAAGACAATAGGAATTAAAGTGAATACAATTGTGTATTCGACATAGTAGAATATATCTAAGATGAGTGAATTCCCAGATGGGATATCAACATTAACCTGGTTTACTAAGAGGAAAGGGAAAAACTACCCCACTAAATGCTTTCCACTATACTGTGCAAGTCTCCTGTTTGCCCCACAATGAAATTAATTTCAAACAATCAGACTAAGGGAGGCATAAATAACCCCTCAAGTTTCCACTAAAACAGGTGGCTGGGTACAGTACAAAGAACCCATTAATGGGTCAAGGCTGAAGCAGGAGTTGAACCTTTAACCTAAAGAATCCACAGAACTCTGTTTTACTCATGTACACTTTATAAACCAGACACCAGCAAGTCCCACCACAAGATGCACTGACATAGGCAAGTAAGATTCCTTAGTTCTCCCGCATGTGCTAACTTTCTATTCAAATGGCAACATGAAAACTGTCTCCCATTTTCTGATTTTATTTTTGTTCACTTGTATTTAGCTGTATTACAATAATTTGGTTTTATTGTTAATAGTCACTTAGAAAATGGCTTAGTCTGTAAAGTCACATCCCTATGACAGGCACAGACATTATATACACAGTTTATAGACTGAACCAGAAAATTCTTTTTCCTTCCAATTACCTATTCATTAATTGCTTCAAGTGAAATATTTTAACTAGGTTGTATGTTTTAATACTTACACATACAAAACCAGCTGTAAGTAAATTATATTCTATAAAATATTATTGCCTTCTTCCCTAGAATGCTTTAAAAAAAAAATCAAAATCCTGCAAGGATTAAGGCCTCTTCCATCTGTCCTATAGATGCAATATCCAAGAGCTTGGAAGTGTTCAATTTGTCGTTCCGGACAGAACAGTGATAAATCCATAAGGCATTTCAGTCCCTTTCTTCCTTTGGGGGAGTGGTGGGTGGAAACAAGCACTTGTAGGGCTATTTCTTCAAGGGTGATTAAGTACGCCTCTCCATTACCATTCTGTTATTTCAGCAGCCGTTTTCTCTTTTTCAGAAGTGCATCTCGAAGAGCCAGCTAAATATGAAACAAGAATGGAATACTCAAGGTAAGGATAACATGAAGTAAGGAGATAACACAATCACATCAACCACCTTCTTCAATGTCTTCAGTCTCAGAGGAAAACACTAATAGCTTATCAGCTAAAATGGGGAGCAGTACCTGGCAAATGCTAACTACTGCCGTGGCAGAAACTTTGTGGTTATTTAGCTAAAATGCACCAAATTAAAGGAAGAGTTGGGCTTCAAAAAATGTTTCAGTACATCACTAGCACATACTATACAATGAAAAATATTAGAGTAACATAAACTGTCTTCCACTGACTCATATTCAACTAGGAGACATCAAGAAAAAACTTCCGTCCAGTGAGAGCTAAGTAGGATGAAATGGCATTTTTTCAAAGCATATTACGAGTCTTCTTTTCAAGGAGGGGAAGGAAGGATGCTGGAGTATTGGCAAGCACTATATCACGCTGAAGAGACTTTGTTGTGTATTTTAGACATGCTTGCTTTAGTATGGGGATTTAGCTCTGGACTATAGACAGCAGTCCATTTCATTCTACCACCAAAGAGGGCAGCAGAACACTGTATCCTACAACTATTGTACTTCAACTCACTTTTAACAACTATTTCCAAATCACAGTCAACAGAACTGATGCTGTGGCCTAACTTCAGCAAATGAAGTATGAATAAAATCCCTATTTCACTGTTCAGCTGTTATATTTAAACTCAAAACATTAATCAGGAGTGAAACCATTTGCAATGGCTTTTCAGAAAGAGAGCCAAATTTAAGAATCATCATCAAGAGCAGTTTCCTAAAAGCACCTGGATTGTTTGATTGTGATGGTTTATGTGTTTTAAGAGCTAGGATAACATGATCAGCATTATCTGGGGTGAGGCAGAATGATACCAAATAAAAAGCCTACAGAGGATCTTAGTCCAGGTTTTCTTGTTGAACCAAAACACTTAAGACATGTTCTCTACCAAGTCTACAAACAGTTTCAGTCTTGCTGCTCTTAAGGCAATAAATTGCAGACAACTACATATGATCCTTATATGATCCTGACTCACAAAGGAGGGTTTATAAAAGCAGCATCTGAACGCTCAGAACCTAGCGAGGAAGCACAAAAATTAACACCACACAAACAAGACCCCTGCATAATTGGATTATTCTAGAAGTTTTTCTTGGAACATGTTCAAAGGAGTTCAATTTTATAACACCCTGTAAAGCCCTAGATTGGCCATCTGCCAGGTTAGATAAAAGGATTTTAAGGCAGATTGTTGTTGTTAGCACAGACTTACCCTGCCAAGGTGAAACACAGCAGGGCAAGGCAATATGCCTTACACCCATTCTCTGGCAACAGCTGCCACTGTTTGGGCATTATCCCCAGCAGGGGAGTCCCTGTCCACACTCCATACTTGCCAGCTCAACTAATCCCAGACACATGGGGGAGCTACACAGGCTCCCTGCCCAAAGCCTTCAGGAGCAAAGTCATCCCTCAAAGTTTCTGCCTTGCCTTTTAGATATCCCTTCAGCTACCCTCAGCAGAGCTGCCTGCAGGAACATGCAGTAACTGGACTGCCACATAAATGTTTGTAGCTTGCACATCCTTTCACAAGGGATGCCTCAAATCTCATCAGCCCTGTGGCCAGGATATAGCCAAGGAAGCAGCAGAGGGCAGGGGCTTCACCACCAAGAGCATATTGTGAAACTACCATGGCAGGCTGGACCAAGGCAATCATTTTTTTCCTCAACAGTTTCAAATATGTAATAAACAGCATTTACGTCTGTGGTTTAAGTACTTTTGTGACAAGCTACTAGATGACCTCAAGGCCAGGACAGACAAGTAACACAACAGTAACAGGACCAAAGTCCAAGAAATAATACAGAGAGTGAAGAAACATGCTAAAAGCTTGTCCTGAATTAACTCCTCCATATCAGGGAAACATTTTTTCTATCACATGATTATAGCATTCTAACATGATCTTTAATTCATGTAAAGGAAAATAAACCACATAATCACTACCTTCCTAACCTACACGTGACTTTGCAAACGAGACTTGGTCCTCAAAGCATTTTCAAGAGAAGAGGCTGACCAAAGCATTCTTCACCACCTCAATCTGATATACCTCCTGGGGTGGGATTCAAGGGAAGCCACCTAGCCCACAGACCTTCCCAGCCATTAAACTCAAGAAAACAGCTACAACTTCCAGCACAGGATAGACAGCACTTAACTGCATTCTAAGTTTACTGCTCAGACTGCCCCACCTATTTGCAACATGAAATATTACCTGTTTTTCCCTGAAAGAACGCTTATTTTTTGTCCGGACACTATGGCTATATCTCATCATCATGAAGTTCTTGTGCTTTTGCTTTTCTTTGTTGGAAGAGCTGGCAAACGGGTTAATTCTTGTTTTCTTTTTCACAAATTCTTTTCTGTCTGTTTTCCCAGCCTAGAATAGACAACATAATATAGT